TTGTGGGTTGCATTTTAAGTTTTACACCATGCAGAACTTTTTATGAAGAATAACTTTTTTTCCTAAAATTAATAATAAAAAAGTTTTCCATATGATTCCAAGATACCCAGCAAACACAACCGTAAAGGTTCTGTAATGGCCCTTTAAACGCGTGCCTTTAATAAACTAAAGGCCCCATAAAGGCTGACTTTAATGGACCTCCACATATTATGTCGCGTTCACCTTTTATGGGCATGTGACGGCAGTCGATAAAGACACTTACAAGAACCGGTAAAGGTTCCGATATGGCAGGTTAAAGGTACAAATGTGGCAAGCTAAAGGTTCTTATATGGGGTGTTAAAGATTCTATAGAGGTTAGTTAAATATTATTTAATGGATAAGTAAAGTACCTATTATGTCGGATTAAATGTGGTACCTATATATATATTTCAATTATCATGGAATATCCGTACCTAGTAAATATATTTACTAGGTACGGATATTCCATGATAATTGAAATATTTTATCCCGACCGATTTTTGACGGTAGGGATAAAAATTCCCGATTATCGTGTAATATCCGACCTAATAAATATATACCTACCAAATTTAATCCACCATAATAGATAGGTACTTTACTATATTACAAAAATTTCGTTATTATGTAATTCCATTAATGCCCCTAAAACTTTCAAAAAATTAAAAAATACAAAGTGTTTAATGTTTTATAAAATACATGTAATTTAAACATAATTATAACATAACATACCTATTTAAATAAAAAAAAACTTAACAAATATTTAAATAAAAAAAAACTTAACAAATAGGTATTATAAAATAAAATCAAATTTCAACAGTTTCCATTTCTAAGGAATCGAATGAATTAAATTGAACACCAAAACAAATTAAGTAGATAAATCCAGTCTCTAGTCCAGTCTTTAGCACAATGGATATATGGCTAAATCACATGCATAAGAGATCTCTATTATATTGCTAAATCATTGACGACTGCAGTGCACTGTAGGAATGGTCTTATAATGGGATTCTAATTTGCAAGTTTTTCTAGAAAAAAGCTTCGTTTTGAATAGAGATAATTAAATAGGGTTAAATATTCAAAACATGGTCCCAGTAAGCACTGGAACCTCCCAGGGACGTACGCAGGACGTCTTCCTGGGTTATACCTGACGGACTCAGGAAATCCGAAAGCGTCTGTAGGACGTCCCTGGGATGTCTGATGACAACCAAAGGATAGTAAAAAAGACTTCCTAAGACCCTCCATTTAAGGTACTACTGCGAGCACCTCAGGCCTCTCTATGGACGTTATAATTCGATCCGCATGGAGAAAAAAATACAATCTATTTATTTTTATTATCTATTTATTTTTAACATCTTTTGTAACAAAAACTATAATTCTGATAAAAAAAATAAATGAAATAAAAATATTCAGGGTAATCCGAATTGTACCTTACATAATTTGGGAATTGATAGAATAGGTTAACGTAATATCAATTTTATTAATAAACTTATTTAAGTATATATATAGTAAACTAAACAAGGTGTTTTTTTTTTTAAATAAATTTAATTGTTTCTGAACTTAAAATGCTAAATTATTGTTTTAAATAAATATAACTACCTATATAGGTATTTATTTAACTAAATGAATAAATAAAGTGAGGTTATTTAAAACAAGCAACAGGTGAAGACCATACAACACGAAACTACAATAAGAAATGTAATAGTTATACTATAGTTATGCAATTTAAAGAAATTATATTAATTTATAACGGCATCAATAAAAAAAGAGGAAAGCTTTTTTTGTCGTTAATCGGGCGGCACCTCGAAGAGATGCATTATTGTTAATTATAAATTTACTAGAAAAAAACAATAATTTGCTCAGAAATATATATTATTTAATACATACCTACCTTCATTAAATATAAAAGGCACACAAATGTAAACTAAAGTTGTATCTATTGTTAACTAAACTTCCAAACCTCAAAACAATACAAAACTGATTTTAACACGTGCCGGTCGGTACCGCGTAATTCAAATTACCGTACTATAGCTCGCAGGATCGTACTTACTAAATGGGGGTGCGAATTTTTTGGAATAAAAAGGGTAGTAATATTTTGTAAAAATTATGAATATAAATAAATCTTTAAAAAAAATTGTTCATCTTTTTTTACCCTTTTAAGAAATAAATTTATTAAAAATATTTAAGAAACATAACAATATACATAAAATAAATAAATATTTAAGAAACAACAATATACATAAAAAACATAAAAGAATAAAATTCCTACATTAAAAAAAGTCGGTATTGTAGGGCACTTTAGTAAGACTCCACCAGAGGTCAGTGAGCGCCATGAAACTTAAAAAATTATAAACAGATACAAATGATTAACATAAGTTTTGTACAATTTTAACTTAAGTTTTGTAAATTTATTTTGAAAATTTAGAATTTTTTGCTTAAAATTTGAATGTTGGGAATTACGTACGGTAATAGGTACATTCCAACCGCAGTAATATTACTGACACAATATTATTTTAGACTTAAAAGTATTTTAAATTAATTTGAACGAAATAGAGAAAAAAATACAAAATAATTTATTTTTAAATATGTTTTTCCTTTATTCTTACTTTTTTTAAAGCGTGTTTAAATAATGGAAATACAAATGCGCATGTGTGTCAGTAATATTACTGAAAATTACTGCCGGTTGGAACTAACCTAAGGTCTGGTCCCTACACCGTACAATTACCTGAAATTATTTAAATTTATCTTTTACCTATCTTTAGGTATGTATAAATTAAGGTATAAAGTTGCAACTTTATAACATGTTATAAAAAAGTAACTAAAAAGATGGTACTATTGTTTTTGGGGAGTCATGCTCTTTGATTTGATTTTAATAAAACTTTATTGGACATCCGTAGGATATCCTTAGGCGTCCTGTAAATGATCAGCATAAGGTGGTCCTACTTGACTGTCCCTAGAACGGCCAGGTCGCGTCGGTCTGGTTTGACAAAATTTGGATGTCCCAGGGACGTTTGTATGCTTACTGGGGTGCGCTAAAAGAAGATTTAAAATTTTAAAATAGGTCACATGAATTCATTTAAATAGCTATTTCCTAGGTTATTAATTAAATAGTACGACATTAATGTAAAAATTGTACAGTAAAAATACTTACTTGAAAAAGGTACTACCTATAGGTAGTACCTTTTTCAAGTAAGTATTTTTACTGTACAATTTTTACATTAATGTCGTACTATTTAATTAATAACCTAGGAAATAGCTATTTAAATGAATTCATGTGACCTATTTTAAAACAACTATAGTTGTTTAGTTCATTAATAATTAATTATAAAATACACCAGCCTATTAGATAATTAATTAATATATCACAAAACCTATATTATTTTTCTATATGCATATGCATAATACCACTAACATGAGGCAATTCATTAGTAAATATGGTGTAAAGCAAAGGAAAACATTTGGCACTGTAATGGTGTGTTACAGTTCCATTAACTTGATACTTATAATTGCCATATGTGGGCCTTTAATGTTAAATTATACATATCATTGCCTGAAAAGGGCCATTGCAAGACCTTACCACGACAGCCTTTGGTCTAAATTGACATTTATTAACGAAAAATTCCTGTAGAGGCCCAGTACAAGAACAGCTTGGGTTAAAAATGCAATCATTTAACCATTAAACGCTGTAATGGGCCATTACATTACCAGACTTATGTGTTTGCTGGGTACTGAGACATACTGTATATATAGTGTTGCCAGAACTTATTTTCAAATAGTACTAGTTTTCAGTTAAAAAAGTACCAGATTTTAAAAAAAAGTACCATATTTTCAGAACTCAAAAATAAAGTTTTAGGTAAGGAGGGGTGACATTTTTTTTATTCATTTAGTTTAATAGTAATATATAGTTATTGCATTTAATACTACTTTACTTTCATATTAAAAATAGTATAATTACCTCTCCATAATAAATATCCCCCTATTAATATTATATAATAATTATATACACTTAATTCCTAATTATATACACTTTTTTTAAAATACAGAAAGTTTCTGTCAGAATTTTTAATTACAAGTGACAGTCATGCGCAACAACTCTCTTTAGTTGGTTGGTTTAGTAGGTTTCGCCACAAGGTGGGTGTCGCCATCTATTATCATTCCGCCCAGTGTTTCTAAATGTGTATTTATAGTTGCGTGTTTTTCTATGGTTGCGTCACGCAACCATAGAAAAACACGCAACTTGCGTGTATCTGTTTGAAATTTATAATAATTTTAATTAAGTAGGGTGAAAAATTGTTATTTTATTTTTAGGCCCATATAACAAAAAGTACTAGATTTTGATTCAAGGGTACTAGGGTATAGAATGTTTTAAAAAAGTACTAGATCTAGTACAATTGTACTAGACTGGCAACACTATAGACAAATAAATAATTAAAAGGTACACGTTACAAAACATAATATATATTATGTACTACATAATATGTAGTTCATGAAAATGCATGTTTAACGAAAGGGAATAGGCCTCTTAAACTACTACATAATATGTAGTTCATGAACATGCATGTTTAACGAAAGGGAATAGGCCTCTTAAACTTTAAGCAGAACGTCTATATATTTATAAATTTGGCAATATAACGTGATTTTGCAGATTTTGGATCGCATATGACGTCACATAGTAAACTCATAGAAAACCCTGAAAAACCTTTTTTTATTCAAAGACCCCGAAGGGCATGAACAAAGATGTTCTTTGGTGTGACTTGGCTGTCCCGTCTGTGTAATGTTAATAAAGTCAGTTGGCGACACTGATTTCGGTGTAACGACTTTATATCCTCGAACCATAAAATAATAATATAAGAATTATTTCTATTAAACAGTTGGCAACAACGTTTTAAATATTTTTAGTTGGCAAGGCTGTTGTGATTTATGACATGTTTTATTAATGTTATTTGTTTTCCTAGTTATTTTTAATGATTTATATTATTATAATTTAAATGGCATACGTTAATGTAAAGGATTGGTCTGTTGATCAAGTAACGGATTGGATTAAAGGTAATTGTTTTTTTGTGACCTTCTCGTTTTAGAATTTATATTTTGGTTTTATGTTTTGCTTTTTATTTTTAAGATGGTTTTATTTTTTCTTGTGCCTTATAAATAAAAATATGTTTTGATTATGATTATTAAAAAGAGGTATATATTAATTATTAATAATTATAACTATGTAGCTAATGTTTAGGTCAGCAGTTCCAAACTTGTTTAGTCTTGTTATCCCTATAAACTTTCAGGGAAACTGATTTTACCCCCTTTAAAATGATGTCCAGAGAAACAAGGTACATTCAAATTCTAGTCTTTAGTAATTTTGATAAATCCTTATGGAAGTTTATATAATTCTTATATTATAATAAGTTCTTACCACAATTAAATTAAGTAAATAATAATTTATAATAATTAATTTAAATTATTTCAATATCCCAGGTGGCACACTGATGTCTGCTGACATTTAAACGACAGCAGACCTCAGTGTGCTACATGGGGTAAGTACTTCAAAAATGAATTACCTATTGAGAGTCAGTGTTTTGCACATTGTTTTACGTTAGCTTAAGTTTCACTCTCGGTTTCACTTAAAGCCCATCTCAAGTCATGTTCCACATTGGGATGGTTTCTGGCGTTTGTTTTTACTTTTAGTAAAGTTGAGAAACCTCTTTTCCATGTACAAGAGGTAGCAAATGGTATTAACAATCTTAAGGCTCTATCAGCTTTAATAGGATTCTGTACCTATTTTGTGCCAAAATGTACCAAGGTCATAATTTTGAAATTCCCTTAAAAGTGCTATCCTCGCGAGAAATTCCACTTTGACCGACACATCTTGGTCCTAAAAATGTAAGGAAATATTGCTCCAGTTAGTCTATTTCTGCTACCACTAAATTTTCATGATGATATATCATAATGGTGTCATAATGATATTAATGTTATGTTAATAGCAAATCGCAATAGTGTTATATTTATGTATTTTTATGATGCATTTATGATATTTTTATTATGTATTTTTATTTAATAAAAGCTTTGTTCGCAGATCACTTTCAAACAAACTGCAGTTCAAAAAATCTTAAAAAATTTCTGGTTTGAAGGTGATCTGCGAACAAAGCTATTACTAAATAAAAATACATACAATAATAACATAAAATACATCATAAAAATTATGAATTAAATGTAGTAATAAAAATTAAAAAATATTTATTTATTAAAAAAATCATTAATCTAGTAGGTATAAGCACATTATGCATTCATACATAAAAAATGAAATTTCCTTACATTAATCAAAGCAAATACTTATAATATTTTTTTTACTCCCACCTTTAAAACGCCCTTTATTGTACATGTTTCCATGACACTAAGTGACCTTTTAAATACACATTGACAAGTTGTGGCTTTACGGCGCTTTAGTCACCGGCTGAAGTTAGCAACAGGTTTTTAGTCACGGGCTGAAGTTAGTTTTAAGTTAATTGACAGTTGTCAAATGTCATACAATCGTTAAAATAAAGTGCCTTTCTTGTAAAATAATACTAAATGTAAAAATTATTTTATTATCTCAATACAAAAATATCAAATAGTTTCTCAACGCCAATATTTGAAACGTTTATATGAACATTGTACTGACCTTTTAATTTCGCCGGCAGTAAACTATAACTTAAATTCGGGCACGGACTCTACTGTAAAGTTCTCATAAAACATTTCCTTTACTTTCACTGTAAAAAACTGTCAATTTTCAAGATACGTTTCGATTTATAACCTTTATAATTGTGTTCATAAAATGTAAAAATGTGACATTTGACAGTTTCCCCTGTTGTTTCATAGATGGCGCTCTATACAAATTTTTGATTTAAATCATTTTAAGATAATAAGTATTTGTCGTAGAAAAAGTATAGTATGCACTTCGTTTATAAACTTTTCTATACACTCATTAACTTAAGCACTCGCTCGCAAGCTCGCTCGTGCCTAAATTAAATTCGTGTATAAAATGGCGTTTATCAAACTTGATACATAATATACTATATACTATATACAGTGTGTCGCACTTAAGATGAAGACACCCCCATATTTTCGCTATTTGAAGGAATAAATTTATTCCTTCAAATAGCTTAAGGTTTGAATTTTTTCACATTCATACATGTTGATGGGTCACATTTTTTAAGCTACTCAACTGAAATCTGAACTTTAAACTTGGCCTACTACAAATTCACAAACAGGGCCAGTTCTCGATATTTTGCTTCGCGTTAGAGATATCGAAAAAAGTTATTGGAAAAAGTTGTTCAGAATATTATTCTAACCCCATATACTAATTTTTATAACAAAATTCGCATTTTTAATTTTTTTTTATTTTGGTCCACACAAAATTATTACAAGTTCATTTTTTAGTTTGATAATAAGGGAGCCATGGAAAGTAATAATTTGATACTAACTAGTGTTTATGACCGTTAAATAAATAATTAAAACAATTTTTGGAAATTACAAATCAATTATAATTTATTAAATTAAGGAAATGGTATAAAACAATAATAAAACTAATACAAATAAATAAATTAGAAATGCTAATTTTGCTATGAAAATCGGTATACGGGGTTAGAATAATATTCTGAACCACTTTTTCTTATAATTTTTTTCGATATTTCTAACGCGAAGCAAAATATCGACAACTGGCCCCGTTTGTGAATTCGTAGTAGGCCAAGTTTAAAGTTCAGATTTCAGTTGAGTATCTTAAAAAATGTGACCCACCAACATGTATGAATGTGAAAAAATTCAAATCTCTATTCCTTGAAATAGCGAAAATATGGGGGTGTCTTCATCTTTATCACACTGTATAATAAATAATATTAAATATACCTATTATATGTTCCTTTTACTATGTATATACATGTTTACTAAATAAATAAAAATCAAAATCGCTCAACTAGGGCCCCTAGTTGAGCGATTTTGATTTTTATTTATTTAGTAAGTAGGGTTGGGACAGTTGAAATTTTCAAATGAAAATTTCAACTTTGAAAGTTTCAAACTTGAAATATTTCATTTAGTTGGAAAAGTGAAATTTTAAAAAATTTCAAATGAAATACATGTTCAATCCGAAAATTTCAACATTGCCTGTGAAACTTTCAGAAATTTCATTGAAAGTTTCGCAATTTACTGAAAATTTCGCATAAATTTCACATGCGGCCTCCCCTGGGACCTTTAATAATAATTTACAACAGATTCCGAATCGACCAATAAGAGCGAGTTATCAAGCGTCTGGGCGTTTTTGTTTAGTTCGGCTTGGATTTGAATACACCATAAGTAATTATTGTTACTTATATGCATACATTAATTTAAATAATTTACCAATTTAATTTGTAAATTAAATCAGACTTTAAATTTTTTTTAAAAGTCATGATTAATTTAAACTTTTACTTTTGCAATAATTGCATCGGAAAACGGATAAAAAATGCCTTTGGCTCATGAAATTTTGATGAAGTTTCTTTAATTTTCATAAAATTTCAGTAAAATATATAAAAACAATAAATATATATAAATATAAAACAATAAAAGTGGCACAATCTCATTAGCTTACCAAAAAGTGCTATATCTCTTTTAGTTTTAGTAATTTTAAAAATCTCAAGAAATTTGTGGTAAACATAGGTATTTACTATTTATATTAATTTTATTCGAAATATAAACAATTATAGAACCCAAATCAATAAAAAACAATAGTTAATCGAAAGAACAATAGACAAAAATTTAAATTCAAAATTTTTCCCAGTCTATAAAATAAAAAAAATTAAAAATATTCAAATTAATATTTTTATTTTAAAACTAAATTAGTACAAACGTTATTTTAATATCTGGATTTCTTTACTCCAAGGTGAAGTTATTTCATTGTTAATAATTTTTAAATCTCAAAAAAATTATTATTCCATATTTTCAGAAAAGACATGATTATACCAAAAAATTAACTTAGATCGTCTTGAGGCACGTGTTGTTTTTAATAAAAAAAAAAAGAAAAAAAATTCCTAGTGTTTTTTTATCAAAACGAAGCATTTTAGGGGGCGTCGCAAAAAATTTAATTTTTAACGGCCACCCTAATTTATATTATTGGGGCAGGGGCCCACAGAGGGGTAGGAGGTAAGAGAGGCAATTTGCCATGGTCCCCGAGTGGGCTTATTTCAATATTAATATATTACACTTAAAGTGATTGAAATTTATTGAAAGTTTCATAAAATTTCATAAATTTCATAAATTTCATGAAATTTAGGAAATTGTAATAAATTTCATAAATGTCATGAAAATTTCAAGTGAAATTTCAAGTACAAGCAAAAAGTGAAATTTTCCCAACCCTAACTAGGGGGGGTTAAATTATATAAATTTGCCCGATTTGCCAAAAATGTGTTTGGTGGTTTTGTCAAACTTCGAATCAGCCGCCTTCTCAAAATTAGTTAGCACAGTTCCACCAATTGGAATGTTGCATTCAATAACTAACTTCTTTTACTCATCCACTTCATCATATTCGATATTCATGTTTATACACTTTATTTTTATCATTGTATTCACTTCCATCATAACTGCAGCAATCCTTGTCATCATTTTCTTGGGTATTGTTAGCCATGTCGTTTTGTGCCCCATCAACATTTCCTTGTCGAGCCCCAGGAAACCATTTGGCATTTTATTCTCAGGATCTGTGCTATTCTCATCCAAATACTATATATTCATCCTCGCTGTCATGAAATTCGTGACCTCGGTGTACTCTTTGATAATAAGCTTTCTATTACATCCCATATCAATAATACTGTGCAATCTGCTTTAAAGCTCCTAGGTTTTATAAGTCGGAATTTTGATACCTTACATGTAAGACGAATAGTTACAAGTTCAAAATTACTGTGGAAACTTTTTAACAACCAAATTGATTCTTGCCATTTATCGAGTCTCTTAAATATTTTTGTGCCACGTTTGGAAGCTCGTGAAAGTAAAATATTTTACTGTAGTTCCTCAAGATCTAACGTGCTTTTGAAATCTCCTGTTCATGTTAT